CGAGAACAAAGATCGACTGTCCAGAAATGGAATCATGCAACAGGCAGATCCGCGCCGTGCAGCTGTTCCCAGCATCAGTAATCCAATAGAATCAATAAGCCTTGCATGATTCGCGCGCTTTTCTCGAATCGAACCACATATCTTGGAGAATCTAGCCCAGTGCCATCGTGCATGGTACGGTATGATCGGAGACTGTGGACCGCTGTCTGTCAATGCAGTGATTTACGTTCGGGCCACGATTATGACGATCAACAGCTGATCGCAATTGATGCTCGACATGCATTCGACATTCCACATGCTCACACGGCAGTGCCCTATAATCAATTATTCCCATAGATGGTCCTCATTCGAAGCCATATAATGTGACAGCTTGCAGATCATACTATCTATGTTGGAAGATCATTTTAATGAAGCCAGGTATTGAGAGAAAAAGCACTTTTAAGGAGTAAAAATGCTTTTCGAAGTTATCGAGGAAGAAATTTGCAACCAAACATCTAGAATTTGGGTTTGGGTTAAACGATTATATGCGCAGTTTTTTTTTCTTATCTCATCCTTAAGTGTTAGGCAGGGCTATTCCTCTTTGACAGAGAAGGGCGTGGAGAGGCTCGATAAGAGGCACTCCTCTTACAAAGCTGATGTACTTTAGATACTGTTAATATAAGAGTGGTTTGAATAGTTTGGGACCTACCAACCCATTTTATGAAATTAAGCTGTAAAATCTATGCCCTAACCCCATTCTCTTCAAGTCCCAACTAGGATGCACTGTATGCCTTTTATCATACTCTTTCACGCTGCTTGAAATGAATTCTAGCATTATTCTCAAGTCTAGGTAGAAGAAATTCATAAAACTGTTTCGGTAAGAACATTACCAAGAGATTCGCAAACATTGTAGGTCGTTATTTACACTTACAACACTAGAATTTGACCCTCGGATCTCTTATCAGCCATAGAAAGAGGTTCGTTCAGAAAAGTCATTACTATTAGTTAGAGGCTTAGAGGAATTGTCAAAACAATTTTTACCGCAGATGAAACAGTGCATTAGTTACAAGCCTTAAAAGCTCTTGCGATTACAGGCAGTTCCTTGACTGTCTTACGCAAAGGCAGTATGGTCACAGCGCATCGCCTTTAGTATCCTACTGTGAATCAGAGTAAAAAAAA